CCCCAAAACCCCAAAACCCCAAAACCCCGTGCTGAAATCTTAATGAAAAAATTTTTTCAAAACCTACCTTGAATATTAATATACGAAATTGAAATATTTTATCATAGTAAGTAAAATATGGGAAACAAAAATGTATGCTGTTCTCAGCGAGATAAGAATGATCTCATTGTAGGAATTGAGACTAGGAATGATAAGCACTTTATATTAAACTACCCCAGAATGGTAAGAGACATTGATAGAAAACTAAAGAAAACAATGGACATCTAAAAATATCGCTAATCAGACCTTACAAATTTTAAAGCCATTTAAAAATAGCTCAAAATTGAGATTGAATACAATCAAAGAAAGTTGGAGGAGGAATAAAAGCAAAAGACTACAAAGCGCTTAATGATTGAAATTTGTGAGGCTACTGGTATAACTATGCCAATTTTGTTCGCCCAAAGCTACAAATGCTAAATTAGAGTAAAATATCGTGGCATATCTAGAAAGACTTAAAAAAATATGAATTGCTAAAACCCAAAATTTTTCCAATTATTAAAATTCCCAGTCAATAAGATAGACCCAGAGGACTGGTTTGAAATTCAATTTGTTGTTGTTGATAATGAGAAAGTTAGAAAAGTCATAGCTAAATAGTAATTTAAGATTTCTTAGTTTAATGACTAAGTTCTACATTTTTCCCAGTTAGATCTGCCTATACTTAGAGTACCACAAGAATTAGAATATAGACACAAGAAAGGTTTGAGATAAAGCTAAAAGGAATAGCTTTTTAAATAATCACAAGAATAATATAATAGATTAACAGGAGATAACTTTGCCGAATAATTGGATCAGATTGGATCTCCAAGGTATGATGGTTAAGATTAAAACCCTGACGATCTTTTTTCTGCTTTGAGTCCCAGGTCTCAAGAGGCAGGTCTATTCTCACCAAAATCCAATACAATAAATAGAAGAGATTCAGGGTCTTTTGGAACGAGAAAGAGCGCACAAAATGATGATGATGATGAGCAATTCCAATTAGATGCCTATCCTGAAAATCCAGTCAAACTTTCAATCAGAGTATAAATAGTTCAAGATGGTCCTAGTTTTCTAAATGATTTTCTTAAACAATATGAGGAAAGATTGGAAAAAGTAATTAAATTTTTGGATGCTGCCACTTTACAGATAGCTAAAGATAAGAGCCCTGAAAGTAAATAAAATCAAACCCCCACTCCAGATGGTAATACAGATACTCCAGTTGAGGATAAACCCATTTCGTAATTTAATATAGCTCAATCATGAACAAGTTTATTTGCACAGAATTCGTAATCAGATTAAATTTTTTTGCTGCATTATTAAAAATAAGAATTTTACCGAAAAGTTATAGTAATTAAAAACTTTTATTACTGTTTTCATCATAATTACTCTAAATTGCTTCTTCAGGGGTTTTGGGGTTTTGGGGTTTTGGGG